ACAGGAATACCATAATCAACAAATCGAGAAATTGGACAGCATTCAATCTTGTGTCTAGTTTCTGCATTGTGCTTAGCTAGTTGTGATTTTTGAGCCCAACAGCCTCTGCAGGCGCTTTTGTTCTTAGCCATCTCTTTTCGAATGGGATGGCAAGTCCATCCGACATAAAAGCGACCATATTAAAATACTAAGCTATAGCACCCCGATCTAAAGAATTGGCCAACTTTCTCTTGAAAAGTGGGTGTAACTGAAGAACGCGTCGTAGTTCCCCTGAAAATAGTTTCTATTCTCCACTTTCTTATTATTGCGCCTATCATTTTGTATGGAATACACGAAGACAAAGACATAATATGGGAAAAGTGCTCTCTAGCTCTACATACGTAGACATTCAAAAAGGTATTCTTTATTAAAGGCTATTTTCAATCAGACATCGGGGATAATTATTAAGTATTATTAGTTTGAGGCGATCCAGTTCATTATAATAATCGTCTCTATCGGCTAGTCTTATGCTTCTTATAATTATAAATGTAAGAACTACAAGCTTTGTCTTATAGATATGGTTGGAGAATAAATTAAGGAGAAAGCCAGCGTGTATTGGCTTTCTATATACAACCCTGCTTAATTTATCACCTGCTCTGATAATTAAAACATTCAAAAAGGTAAATTATTGTCCTTCCCTATCTCCATGGCCAACTTAAAATTGCAATATCTAGGGGTCTATGCTATACTAAGACATAATAGTAAATAAATAAAATTAACCTAATTTTCAGTACCCAACCTATGATACCAAGTGATAGAATTACTTTGTGTGGCTGTTTGACTTCGGCATCATTGCTTATTATCATTCATGCTTGTCCATTTTTATAACAGCCCAGTTTGAAGATCGCCGATCCCATCTGTACCTTTCTGTTTTCCGTTCTCGTCTTGCTCACCACCATCAATATTCTTCGTGATGCCATGAATGTGCTAATGGAGGGCACCCCACGAGGCTTAGAGTTCAACGAGGTAAGAGCCTCGCTTTATAGCCTAGATGGAGTCGTCGAGGTGCACAATTTACGCATCTGGAGCTTAACCATGAACAAGACTGCCATTTCAGTGCACCTAGCAGTTGGTGAGCTAGTATTACTTATACATATGGACATAAACAGATTTGCCTCTTATTTCACTTGGTTTTCTTTTGGAGGTAGGGACTTGCCAGTCCAATTACAAAGGTCACTTCGGTTTGTTCTCAATAATGAAATATCTACTTAGACACAACTACACAGCGTTTATTCACTTGGATATGCTTAGGCAGAGTCAGGAGTAAGTCAATATTCACACCAAAGTAAGAATCTAGGACAACATAGAGAATGCGCAGAAAAAATTGGGCTAGCCATTTCGCATTAAGAATGGGAATGCCACGATTCAGTAATAATGTAAAGAAATTAATTTAAGATCTGCTCTGTTAGGAGCCTTATTAGACACATCAGCTTACTCACCTACGTGAAACAAAATCACCCATCAAAATGCATCTAGCATCTAGCATCAAAAAGAGGCTACTGATGATGTTGGTTGTAGTTTATCTAAGCTGAGAAACCTCCATGAACTAGCGGTTGTTTGATCTTGTCTTTACAACTTGTTCATATTAGCAGGAAGACCTAGAGGAACGTCCATAGTCCAGAGTCAAAAGTATGCATGATTATTTCCAAGGTCGGAACGTAGAAGTAGTACATTCCCAGACGTTTCGCCGGCATCGTCACTGGGCTTTGTCAGTCTTAACATCACACTACAACTCGTCAAAGAGACAATTAAAGTCAACCCTATGACAAAATGTGTGCTAAATCATTTTGGTATCTCTCCTGTCCTGAGCTATTCACCTATCCTATATTATCGTATCACCCCTTCAATATCATAATTTCTTACTTGTTTATCTAGACCTATTTGAAATCTATTCACCCTCCCCGCTGGTTTCCTCATCCCTCCCATTATGCCGGGAGTGTCGATCCAAGGCTGCAGTTTAATCCGCAATCCTCTCTCTTCGGGTATTATCAGCTTCCCCTCGTGCTTCGTAGGATCCTTCCATTATCTGCCTGTTTCAGTGATTTCACCCCATCACTGTCACCGTATTCGTGTTACTCACGGTGTTGTTCCCCACTCAGCCTCAAGCCTTTGATAACACGTATGCACCTGCCTTACTGAGCAAGCCCCCAAAATCTGGATTCGCATTTGGCATGACAACCTAACTTGAAGCTGCCATTGATAACCTGACTAAAATAAACTAGATAAACAGGACACTTGAAGAAGGCAGCATTAACGAAAACTTTGCATAGAGCCTAAACAAACTCGGAGATCAGGAAACAGCAATATCAGCAAAAAAAAGACGACTGGACAAAAGTATTACTTTTAATTGTAAGAAAAAAATTACAAGGAGACCAGAGATGAACAATCGGAAACCAAGAGAAGAGGTCTGCAGTGAGCCTATTCAAATCAAGTAGAACCATCACATTTGGAGGTTGGCACGCAAAGAGCGAGAGAAACAGTTGTGGCCATTTCTAGTTGGCTATTATTATATGAGTTTACTCATAGACGTGGTCCATGAAGTAAAGGCTTGACAACGAGATTTATTCGGGGCATATGCCGCACAGCAATAAGGGAATCTGCAGCGTCAAGTAAGGTTATGCCAAATAAGAATCCAGAATTTGGGGGCTTGCTCAGTGAGGCTGGTGTATACGTGCTATTAAAGGTTTGAGGCTGTGTGTGGAACAACACCTTGAGTAACACGAATACGGTGGCAGTTATGGGGTGAAATCACTGAAACAGGCAGATAATGGAAGGATCCTATGGAGCAAGAGGGGAATCTGACAAGACACGAAGAGAGAGGATTGCGGATTAAACTGCAGCCTTGGATCGACACTCCCAGCATAGTGGGAGGGATGAGGAAACCAGCAGGAAGGGTGAATAGAGTTCAAATAGGTCTAGATAAACAAGTAAGAAATTATGATATTGAAGGGATTATAAGATGATATAGGATAGATGAGTAGCTCAGGACAGGAGAGATATCCCAACTGTTTAGCACACATTTGATCAAAGGGTCGACTTCACTTGTCTCTTTGACGAGTTGTAGTGTAGTACTAAGACTGGCAAAGCTCAGTGATGATGCCGGCGAAACGTCTGGGAATGTACCAAGTCTACGTTCCGAATTTGGAAATTATCATGCATACTATTGAATCTGGACTAGGTGCGTTCCTCTAGGCCCTGCTATCAATATGACCAATTTGTGAAGACAGGGTAAACTCCTATACAACGAAAGAAGACCGCGACTATACAAAAGGCCACACTATTCTGGTCTTCATATATTCGTCTGCCCAAACTAGTATAAGAGAGAAGATATTCTTAAAATAGCCATCTTTAATCAAAAGTATATGCCGTATAGCA